TTCAAATATATATAACATTAAAAAGTGCCCCTATTATGCCATTTTAAGGTTCCTAATATTGTTGTGGGAGTCTCCTACAATAGGTTTACATGCATGCAAGGTCAAACAACCCTTTTGTTTTCTCAAAATATGCATTTAATATCACCTCATTTTCCAACAATTCTCAAACTTCAAAGCAGTTCTAAGATTCAGGGCGAATTCCAAATGGCTTTTTGCGCCCTCGAAGGGCACTTCGGGAAGGCGACGCCATTTGTAGGGATGTTCCAAATGAAAGTGAACTACTGAACCCTTCCAGAAGTCTGTTATCGAAGGGAACATGCGATGGTCACTTCACAGAAGTGATTTCCGTTTGTGATCATGTGATATTCGGTTAAGAGATCTCGCGATGCATTTTAAAGCAAAGTTGGGGTTCATTTTCGACTTCACATACAAACGTAAGGAAAATAGGCTAATTACATTCATCTTTATTTTAATGTAATTCAAAATATTTTTTGTCAGTGATAGAAATATGATTTAAGATGGTAGTGTAAGCAAGTTTGGTTTGAAAAAGTTTAATAATAAATAAGACAATTAGATAATATTTGAATAAAATAATAATACATATTTATTTGCAACAACTGATGGAGAGCTGAATGCTGCACGCTCGCGCAGCATTGTCAAGGTAACATTTGGTCAGTCATTTCCTTTGTCAAGGGAGTTCCAAACGCTTATACGAGACAGTAATGCTATACACACTTCAAAGAGCACACTTCAGTGGCTCTGCCCTTCGAAGGGAGTAGGGCATAGGGATGGTCACTTCCGTTTGGAATTCGCTCTTAGTCTCTCTACTTTCTTCTCAAATGTAATGTTTTTTTAATTTCTAAATTACCCCTGGCTTAGTGTTTTGTTTTTGTTGTTCGTGGCCGGCCAACATAGGCCCTGTCCCAAACCGCACCCTAAACCTTCACGGTCTTCTTCATAGTCCACATTTTCGTGGCGTAATGCCGGTTCGACTGTCAGGTAGAAGTCTTCTGCGGAGTTCGCTTCAGCGCAGGCTCGGCAGAAGTGCGTATCGAGGGCGCATAGTGGCCGCAAGGGGAGCGCTGGCGAGCACCCTTCTGAAAGCTTAAATGATGAATGGGTCACCCTACGGTCTTGTGGACTTAAAGGTGCAGTGTGTAATATTTAGGAGGATCTATTGACAGAAATGCAATATAATATACATAACTATGTTTTCAGAGGTGTATAAAGACTTTACGCAATGAACCGTTATTATTATTATCCTTTATTTTACCAGGAATTATCCCATTGAGATATAAATCTCTTCTACCAGGGAGTCCTGGCCAAAATGGCAGCACAGAAAGTTTCACATACAGATTAGACACGCATCAAACAAAACAAAAAATAATAAATAAAAAAATATCATCCAACATCATATTAAAAATTACATAAAACATTCACAAGTTTCTTCCAGGTAGAACTCCAAAAGATTTCTAAAAATATTTAGAGATGGAATTGTTTCTAACATCATAACACTCTGCATTTCATTCCATAGCCTAGGACCATAGGAGGAAAAGGCAGTTTTGCCAAATTCAGAGCGTACTGTAGGAACAGTGAAATGTAATTTGTAAGAGTTTCTAGTGCTATAATTACAAGTATAATATGATAAAAGATTACAAATATAAGTTGGCAGTTTACCTAATAATGCCTTGGCAGTAAATAATAACATATGCATTTTTCTCCTTTGGTACAAGGATGACCAACCAACTATTTTGTACAAAGTACAGTGATGGGAACGTGAAGATGTATTTGTCACAAATCGTATTGCAGCATGATATATACTATCCAACTTCCTTAATAAGGACACGTTTGCATGCATATAAACCACATCACCATAGTCCAACACTGAAAGGAAACAACTTTGGATAATTATTTTTTTTGCTTCAAAAGAAAAGCACTTCTTAATACGAAAAAGAAAACCCAATTTAGGTCTGAGCTTTTTTAGAAGATTTTCAATATGAATATTAAAACCCAACCGTTCATCAAGCCATAAGCCCAAGTATCTATAACTATGTACTCTTTCAATCCAGTTCCCTTCCAAGGTTAGGAGATTCATAGACTGTGCAACTGTATAAATAATTGTGTCATCGGCATATAAATGGATTTTTGCCGTGTTTATCTCTTGACCTAGGTTATTTATATAAAGTGAAAATAAAACAGGAGTGTCCCTGTGGGACTCCTTTATTTATTTTTAATTCTGTAGAAATTAAATTTTCAGCTGAGACACACTGCATTCTTTCTGTCAGATCATTCTTGAACCAATTTAGACTCATTTTACTAAAACCCAAGCAACTGAGTCTCTGCAATAAGATTTTGTGATCTACAGAATCAAATGCTTTAGAGAGATCAACAAATAGAGCAGCACAGTACTGTTTATTATCTAGGCTTGTAATAATATCATTTGTAGTCAACATAGCAGCTGTAATAGTACTATGACCTGAGCGGAAACCTGATTGAAATTCATTTAAAATATTATTTTCCCTTAAAAACTGTTTTACTTGGTCATTTACAAGAGATTCAAATACTTTCGCAATAACTGATAGCCTTGAAATAGGTCTGTAATTGTCTAATTCAAAAGGGTCACCCCCTTTTAACAAAGGGAGAACCATAGCTGATTTCCATGCATGTGGAATTTCATTTGAAGTTAAACTTAAATTAAACATAGCAGTAATTGGTTCCGCTATGCAATCTGCCGCAATTTAAAAAAAATAAGGCTCTATATTATCCGGCCCTGCTGATTTTTTACAATCTAAATTTAATAGAGCTTTGTGTGTGTTATGTTTTTATTAACTTCGAATGAGCAATTTATATCTACATACACCGGGGGCCCCCATTACATGGAAGTCGCCACCATGTTTGTACAGTAGCCCGTAAAAGGACGAACAGAGCGCATTTCGTCACTGTTGTTTTTGCGAATAAAACACTGACACAATGATGAACAAGTAACAATAATATTCGCAATAACATAACATTTTATTGAATAATTAAGTAAATATAATTCCTTAATTTACCTTTGTAAAGAAACCTCATTAATGCTGGCTACTCTCTGCTGTCTCAGACTACAACATCTTAGTCCTGTATCGGCCACCGTAGCTTCACTAAAGTGAGCGGGGGACTGAGCCGTTGGTTGCAGTTCGCAACCTGACCATTAGATGCCGCTAAAATTTACACACTGCACCTTTAAAGTTGCCATGAAATCAAAATTGACCATTTTTATTTTTTGATGGAATACTGTAGTGTTTATTATAAATAATTTATCCGTGCACATCATTCTTTTTTTTTTTTAATGTGCCCTCATATTCTTTAATCAAAAACGTTAACCTCCCCTCCCCCTCAAAACGACTCCTCTACTCTTCCGGTCACAAGCTATGGCGCAAGGGCGGAGCTATCTGGAACTGCCAACAGCTGCAGTGACATCAGTGACGTTTGGGGGGAAAAGCTGAAGCTGATGCTTCACTTTATAGCACTGACACCAGTCATGAGGGAGTACGTTATGTTAAAGGTGTTAGGATATTACAACAACATTACTCTTAGGACATCGCAAACAAATTTTTTTTTCCATGAATATGACTTAACTTGATGGAGAACGTGCTCAGTCTCTCTCTCGCTCTCTCTCTCGCATTCGCATGTTTTGTGCCGTTGATCGTCATCGTCAGCTTTAATAAATAAAACATTTATTCATGCTAGGGTGTCGGCTGTGATTCCAGTGGAGAGAAATCCCCCACCACTAACTGCAAACTGGCATTCAGATCTGCCTCCATTTTGTTAGCAGCGCCCCAACTTCCAACGATCCAATCAATTCCCGAAGGACGAAATCAAGTCCCGCCCTCTCATTTCAGATGGTGTTTCACTCGGATATACGTCACAGTAGAGAAGAAAAGACAATCGCAACTTATGTTTCATGCCGACTTTAACGGACACGCGCACGCGGCGGCCATTGAGTCCGCAAGACCGCAAGTGCACATGAAGTGTGCCATTTGGGACAGGGCCATAGAACATAGTTGGGCATTATGCAAATGCATTACCCTGTGACATGTAGCCGTCATGGAAGTGGGATTTGAATTACTAACGACTCGTTTAGGCTGTTCAGAGTCGATTCTTTCTCTTGGGAGACAATGGCCCTGTCCCAATGGCCCTGTCACTTCATGTGCACTTGCGGTCTTACGGACTTACAATGGTCCATTTGTCATTTTAGCGTTCAGAAGGGTGCTCGCGAGCGCCCCCTTTGCGGCCGTTATGCGCCCTCGATCCGCACTTCTGCCGAGCCCGCACTGGGGCGAGCTCCGCAGCAGACTTCTACCTGACAGTCAAAGTGGCATTACGACACGAAAGTGCGGACTCAGAGGAAGGTCGCGAGGGTTTAGGGTGCCATTTGGGACAGGGCCAATAACTTTATTTATCGTGCTTTCGGCTTTACAACTTTGCAGATCAAAGCTACATTACAGACTGCATGAAAGGCAATATTCGAAATGGCATAATAGGGGCACTTTAAAAATAAATATTAATAAATAAAAAAATAAAGATTCTGGCAAATAAGGTGTTTATTTTTTTACTTTGTCAAAAATAAATATTTGAAAAATAATTAAATATATGAATTAAATTAGAACATTATTGTTATTGTCGAGTACGAGTTCCCACTTGTTGGGATTTTTAAAATTATGAATATTATTATTTGTATTATTATTATCTTAAAGCCTTTTAGTGCCAGGTCACTGAGCCCACATGCTCAAAATTATGTAACTGCAATGCATAGTGTTGAAATCTAATAAAATAAATTTTCCTTTAAGAGATAATGATTCATCCAGTATTCTTTGCAATTTTGCTCCCTCAACATACAGTACTTTTAGTATTCCTTTATGAATCTGGTATATGGCAGTTTTTTTTTTTTTTCAGTTTTTTTTTTTTATTATTGAAATTAATTTTGCATTAATGTCTCCTCATCTTCTCCTCCTCCATTGCAGAACGAGCCATTGCAAGACATGAGGTACGAGAGATTGAGCAACGGCACATTCAAGAGGGGGCGAAGGAGGCCCTGGTCAAGGAAGACGATTTGGTGGTCATCTACAACCGAGTGCCCAAAACAGCCAGTACCTCCTTCACCAACATCGCCTATGACCTGTGCAACAAGAACCACTACCATGTGCTGCACATCAATACCACCAAAAACAATCCCGTCATGTCTCTTCAGGATCAGGTCAGTTTTGTATCACTTGTGCATGTTCACTGTTAGTGCTTCCCACTTACAGCCATCCAAACAACAGATTATCATGCTGGACGGATCCAAATGTTTCCATTTACTGAAATGAACCAAACAGCTTCTAAATGGCACAAAGCATTTCCTTAATAGTGCACTACAGCAGATGTTATAGTGTGGTGGCTTTATATTATCCTGAGGTTTTAGGGGACTTAAAATGGGCAAATTTCTATCATTAAACTCTAAAAAGGCTGATTGTTTTTTCAGAGCAAATCCTTAAGTGATTTATTTTTTCATTATTATTTATTTATTTATTCATGTTTCAGGTACGGTTTGTAAAGAATGTGACGTTATGGAAGGAGATGAAGCCTGCGTTCTACCATGGACATGTTTCCTTTCTGGACTTCACTAAGTATGTATTATGTGCTCCTGTCATTTTGCTCTGTTCAATCTGTTGTGGTCAATGTGTTTTGCCCGAGTAATGCTGTATAGAGTGGTTTCAGGTTTTGCATTCAGTGCCAACATCACTGAAAGGTGGTTTGCCAACATTCTGCATAACTAGAATCCTACATTAGCCACTCATTCATTCATATCCATTGAAAGGATGTTGTTTTACATTCCCAAGAACCCAAAAAGCAGTTTGATGCTGCTGACTCCTGGTGGCTGTAAAAGGAATTGCAGCAAGCCTCTCAGCTCATTTTAAAGGGATGGTTGACTGTTTTTTTTCTAGGCTTGATTGTGTTTATGTGGTGCAGTCTAACATGTGGTAATGCTTCGTTTGTTAAAAAACGCATTATTTTTCACATAATTTACCTTTATTCCACACCTCTCTGTCCCTTCTCCTCTGAACGCACTGATCATTTCCTGCTTTTATGAAGCCCCTCCCTCAGAAATACACGATGGGCTCTGATTGCATTACACACTAACTAACATTAAAAAAGTGAAATCGCAATCAACCACCCCTTTAAACAATACTGTACAATCATATTGTTAGTTTCCAGTTTTGTGTCTTCCCATACCTTACCTACATGCATAAATCAACTATTTAATTATGCCTAAATGCCCAAAATATGTGTTAGTCCTACTATACTAATACATTACTAATTACAGTTCCTTTCCTATTTCATTATCAGATTTGGAGTGAAGAAAAAGCCTGTTTACATAAATGTTATCCGGGACCCTATTGAGCGTTTGGTGTCTTACTACTATTTCCTGCGCTTTGGTGATGACTACAGACCAGGCCTGCGACGCAGAAAGCAAGGGGACAAAAAGGTGAGTCTGGTGGTTTAAGTGTTCGATTAAATTGTTTCGTCTACTTTTATCCTATTTTTAATTTTTATGAATTTCACAGCTATAAGGTACCTAGGTTTAAGTTCATAAAATACATTTATTGTGTTAGTAAAAATTATTTCAAAATAATAATAATATTAGACAAATTTAATATTAAATATTATTAATATTGTAATATTATTATTTTGTAACATGTATTATATAAAATGTAATATTTTATATATTAGTATGTAAAAAGTACAAATACAATTTAAAGTAATATTCTTAAATAATACAATTATAAATAATAATAATTATTATTATTATTATAAATGATGATTTTTAAAAAATCCCAATTTGTTTTATTAAAAGTTGTGCTATTAACATCCTGAATACTAGCCTTGTTTAATTAAGTCTTATATTAATAAAAAGTGGCAGGTGAAATGGTATCAATGCCAGGGAATTAATTTATATGGAATAAATCCTAGTACAAGAAGAAGTTTTTTTTAGCCAATTCAAATCTAAGTATGATGAAGTTGTTTTCACTAGGTGCCGTTTAGGTCATTCAAGACAACCATCATGCCTTGCTTTGTCAAACTCCAATGGCTGTTAAACATATTTTACTAGAATGTGTTTTTATTCAGAGGCTGATGTGTTTTAAAAAGTGGAGAAAAAAAAAAGTACTTTAGGAACTTTGTCTTATATTAATCTTAAATGTTTTATATAGTTTTTTTTTATTATTTGTTCTCGCCATGAAGAATAGTAAATAGTAATAAAACACTTTCTTCCATTACTATAACCACAAAATTATCTTCTTTGCTGTCAAAATAAAGCTTAACTTTTTTTCTTTATTACACACAGAACTCAGAACATGTAAACTGTATATTTTTTTTCAACTCAAAGATCTGTGTGTGTTTCAGACGTTTGATGATTGTGTAGCTGCTGGAGGATCTGACTGTGCTCCAGAGAAACTGTGGCTTCAGATTCCCTTCTTCTGTGGTCATTACTTTGAGTGCTGGTAGGCTGTTCAGTGTCTTTTTGAGCAATTCAGATCTACCACTTTTAGGACTCGTTACATTTTCTCAATCACCTTTTCATAGGAGCATTGGCAGTAAATGGGCTTTGGAGCAAGCCAAATACAACCTGGTGAATGAATATATGTTAGTTGGAGTGACAGAGGAGTTGGAAGACTTTGTTATGATGTTGGAGGCAGCTCTCCCTCGCTTTTTTAAGGGGGCCACAGAGCTCTATCGGACAGGTATGACTGCAGAGAGAAAGTCTTTACAAGTCTATTAGATGGTGAATATTTTTGTTAAATGTTTGTGTCTATTTCTAAAGGGAAGAAATCGCACCTAAGGAAAACGAGCGAGAAGAAGCCGCCCACAAAAGAGTCTATAGCCAGACTGCAGCAGTCAGACATCTGGAAAATGGAGAATGAGTTTTATGAGTTTGCACTAGAGCAGTTCCAGTACGTTCGGGCTCATGCGGTGAGAGAAAAAGACGGAGAACTGTACCTACTGGCACAGAACTTTATCTATGAGAAAATCTACCCAAAGACTACCTGAGACTCAGCGGTGCTCCATAACATTGTATGCTGTGGTCGGAAACACTGGAGGGAGGACGCAATACATTCTGCCTGACTGCTCTCCATCTGGATGTGTGCAAACTAGTCTTGGGGCCAAATAGCTGTCAAGAGCTTTATCCCCCCAATACATATCATCTCAAAGAAGGCTTAAAAGCTCTCTAATGAGCTTTACAAGTGACTGAGGTCTTGCTCGTGTCGTTACCATCACCTTTCAGCCATAGGGATTTTATACAGGTCCTGCCACATTTCAGAACGTTTTGTTATTGTACTTATTTAATGCATTAATGGTTATTGTTTTGTTTTGTTTTTTTACTGATTGATGCTGTTTTGGGAGTTTTAACATCTTATTTTAAAGTGTAAAAAAAGAGTACAGATGACTACTAAACATTCTTGAAGCTCTTTATCAAGCTGAAAAAATATAGTAATTTTTCCAATTTAGTAAATAAAATAAGGAATGCTTTATTTCTTTGACTTTCAAAATGTTGAAAGTGTTGACATATGTCTTGTCCTTGAAATACCAGAATTTTGTATTTGTAGAAAAAATTATACACATTTGGTGTTTGCCATTTTTAAAACAGAACCTTCTGCCTGGGGTGCAGTCCTGCATTTTTTTTCAGCAATTTTAGATATATTTTTTATCTACAAAAATATGTAAATACTGGTCATTACAGTTACAGTTGGACCAAAACATTCATATATGGGCGGATAAAGAATTGAAGATAAAATGTTTATCTGCATGTGGATTTTTGTACTGTTACTGGTTCTTGTTAAACGGCAATTCTTTTGTTTTAATTTGCTTTTATATATTTTATGACTGAATTATGTTTTTTTTGTTTGTTTGTTTGTTTGTGTTTTACGTAGTTCAAACATACTTTTTTTCCCCAAGGACTCTCATGTCAAGCTTCTCATGGCAACATACCATTAGTCTGCTGCTTTGATTTAGAGATCATGGACCGTAAATGTGTTCATTGAAAGAAAGACTCTGAATTCATCAAGACTGTGTCTTTTTTTCTAAAACACAGAGCTGTTATTATAGCCAGTGTAAATATGACTTGACATCTCAGCATATGAATTGATGAGAATTGTTTTACAATTTGAAATAGGTACAGTTGCATTGATTGTCATTATTAACATCAATGTGGAAATAGGCAACCATCATATGAAATTGTTTGCCTTGTTGATGGTACTACAAGAGTGGAACTGATGAATTTTGAAAATGGAAATTTGCGCCCTGTGTACATTATACAATTCCAATGTTTATATGTACATCTTTACTAAACACACGTTTGTGCATGAAATGGGTGCTGGATTGCACTTGCTCCTAAAATCTCCAAGACACGAGTAGAACAGTAGAATATGTAAAAAATATTTTGACATTATCCAAGTTCTCTTAGATATTTTTAGAGTATCAAAACCAATCTGTACTGTATATGAAACGCTAGAGTAACTTGTACATATAAAATATGTATTGGTTTTAATATCTCTTTTATTTCACAGTGTTATTGTGTGAGCCTGTATTTGTTCTGTTCTGTTTTTTTTTTGTTTTGTTTTTTTTCATCTTAAATTAATGAGACTCCTGGACTTGGCTTTTAGCAGCATTCATTGCCTTAGAAACTTACGCTCCACAGCTAACCTGCTCTGGGGTAGGTTATGTTCTGGTTTAGAGATCTCAAACACAAATTACACCAATCAGCTTCAAGCCAAGTGACTCATCTCTCAATAAAGCCACTCCCCCAGTTTCTCTTACTCCAAATTAAAGGATGCTACATAAAACATTTTCAAAGATAATGTCTGATTTTTAGAGATTATAATTTAACTCAGAATCAAGCCTGAGTTGACAGAGAAAGTTGATGATCAGCTTCATGGTACCAACAAAGCCGGATTGGAGTGGTTTGGTTTTGTCAACTCAAAACTAATCCTGTAACCCTGAGTTTGTTCAGCCACCATCATGGTACAGGCCCCAGGAGCTTTGCTTTTTTCTGCTGATGTTGCAGAGGTAGATTTGAAAACAGGTTTTTGGATATGTCAGCCACAATAAAAAGAGCTTGATTTATTTAGATTTTTTTCTTCTTCTCTGTTAGTCCCTTATCAATGTAATTTTGATAAAATATCGCAGACTGTTTCTGTCTGCTAAAAGTAGTTTTTATTTATTTATTTATTCATTCAAACAAAGGAGAAACTAAAATATATGGAGGCTTATATTTTATTTAATATTCTTCACCTTTTTTGTTTCTAACAACACAAACAAACTAAACATTAAACAGACGGTTCAAAAGTTTGGGGTCAGTAAGATTTTTTCATGTTTATGAAAGAAGTCTTTTATGCTCACCAAGTCTGCGTTTATTTGATCAAAAATGCAGTAAAAGCAGCAATATCATGAAATATTATTACAATTATTATTATAATTAAAATATTTTCAAATGTAATTTATTCCTGTGATGGTAAAGCTGAATTCTCAGCAGTCACCCTACTCCAGTCTTCAGTGATCCCTCAGAAATCATTCTAATATGCTGATTTGCTGCTGAAGAAACTTATTATTATCTATGTTGAAAACAGTTGTGCCGATTAATATCTTAGTGAAAACCGTGATAAATTTTTTCAGGATTCTTTGATGAATAGAAAGATCAAAAGAACAGCATTGATTTGAAAATGTTGTCTTTACTGGACAAATTCAGGGCATCATTGCTAAAGAAAAGTATTAACTTCTTTAAAAATATATATTACTGACCCCCAAATTTTGAATGATGGTCCATGTATGTCTTTTCATAAAGTAAAAAAACCATGTAACAAAGTTCGGGGAAGAAGGAGGCGGGAACCGTCGAACATTTCAACATAAAACTTTATCAAATAAACGAACAAAAGTAATGCAATGCATTAAAGCATTAAAGTAAAATGCATTGTAAAACACAATAAATGCACAATACAAAAGTAAAACACAATAAAACAACTACATAAAATCTCCCAAGTCCTTGCACTGTCGTTACTCTATGGGATTACATCTCTGCCACAATTCTGCGCACGAAAGATCATATTTTGAGTGCGCAAAAGTGCGTTTTGCACACGCACGGACTGAGTATTGTGGAGAAAATGTTTGTCTCACAAACAAGAAAGTATTTCGAGCGCACGAAAATCAATTTTGCATTTAAAATAAGTTTTTGGATTTGTGCAGACCTTCTCTTTTGCGCGTGCAACATTTAACTAGCTTGCTCACCTGATGCCCGCCCTCAGTGCTCTCTACATGCCGACGGCTCGCTTGCTCAACACAACCCAGCATTACAATATGCCATAATTCCAGCCAATCAGAGTTTGTGGTGTGTGACGAGTGGGGCGGGGCCGAGAGCCGTGGGAGCGGAGCGAGGCCGGTGGAGTAAATGATAATGAGCGACACGCTCATTATCATTTACTCCACCGGCCTCGCTCCGCTCCCACGGCTCTCGGCCCCGCCCCACTCGTCACACACCACAAACTTCTTTGATCTAAAATAACTGGGTGTAACCCATTGGTCTACCCTCTCCTCTTCTACAGAAGCGCTCACCATTGACATTATAGAAATACGCAAGATGTGCTGAAGCTGTGCTGTGCACCGCTGCAATATTCATGTTATCTCATCGGAGCACATACATTTAATAAACAGAGCTTTTGATATGCTTTCGAGTCTATCTCAGTGGAACTGTAATCAGCAACACAATTAAAGCATTATTGAATCATTCTTTCAATGGCCTGGCCTAGATAATAGTGTAAATAATTAATTTTTCTATTAACTCATTGTTGTCTCTTCAGCTTGTCTCTCTCAGCACACTGGGAACAGATGCCAGGCTGCCTTTCAGAGATATAATTTTTCTAATTAGCACTCGAATGAAGGGCTGTCTGTAGCCTCTGATGGTCATTGTCGGGGGTTTTTACCTCCCCCCGGTTAGATCATGATGGGTGATTGAGCTGTCACAGCAACAAATAAAGGGCCTTTCAAACAATCCCTTTTTGTGTTTGATCGACAGTCAGGCTTCCCTTCATTTTTAATGAACATCATAACTGTTGGCTATCGTAAGTGGGGAAAGGATAAATTAATTAGGGGGAAATTGTTTCGTTAAAATAACCAGCTAAAGAAATTCTGTACATTTGTTTGGAAATGTCCTTCTAATTGCCAAAACAGAAATGCACGTCATTGTCGAATGTTTCACAGATTCAGTTATAGAGCAATGATGAAAATCTTGTGCTCAAAAGACATCGGCCCTTTCCGGCTCTAAATAATGAGGCCTCTGTCTCACGCTTTCCATCTGATGTTTGTGCTCAGACAGCTCACACTCTTTGTTAATGTGACTCTTGTGCTTTACCTGAAACATCATAACATGCCTCTGCTCAGTAAACAATTAAAGTAATGGAGCTGTGGAGAAAATGACTTATTTTCCATTACGCCCCCCTTCCCACACAAATTTCAAACTTTGCACTCCGCCATTAGATCAACGACTGTGATCTCAGTACATAAACATAATGATCCAGGAGATGGGGGGGTTGCTGGTCTCGTTTACAGTAAATCTAGACAGGCAAGACCAACAATAGGGGCTGAAAAAAGTAATTGCTCATGCAGAACATTCATAGTTTCATTTGTGCTGAAGTTAGTCTGGTTTCATGCACATTCATATGTGTCCATAATATGTCTCTTTTTAATATTATTACATCCCTTAAATGTTGGCTAAATAGGCTAGGGGTAAATGGGAGTATAAGTGTGTAAAAACTGTAAAAAAATGTTTGAGTAACAATATAAAAAGTAAAAATGTCACAGTAAAGGTCTGTTAACTGATTAACTGTATGTTATCATATAAGGTGAAAACTGTAAATGGTTTAACATTACATTATACATTTTTTGCAATCAAAAATGTAATTCAATTACTATGAATTACTGTAAAATTTATGGTAACAAAAAAAAGTGTGGGGGGGGGCATTCCCTGAAGTCTCTGCATAATATATCACATATGATTATATTCTAAATAAATTTTGTTCTTCTTATATCAGTAATGTGTATTAGCGTGTTTTGCATCACATTTTTTGTTATTTAATGTGCCTTATGATGGTTATAATGATGTATTTTCTTTGTGTGTATGATCCTGTGCATATTTATTTACTAGTACTGACACATTTATTTACTAGTACTGTTTTATAGATTGACTTACAACTCTGATTTACCACTTGACTTTCTATTTGACCTGTTTTTTTATGGTGGTTATCAGTACAGTTTAAGGTAATAAGCAGATTTTGGTATATTAACATTATATCATATCACTTATTATATCACTAATATCCAGGCACCAATATGCCATAATATCTGAAACATTGTCACATACTTTTGATGGTGAATTTCTGATGGTGTTTGTTTGTTTGTTTTAATGTCAATTTCAACAGGATTTTTTTTTTTATAGTGGTGTTATGTATTTTTTCTCATACAACAATGTGACAGTGATGAACTCAGAAACGGGGGAGAACAGGATCCAAATGCAGATAAACTAGAGAATTACACAACAATGTCAAGAACAAAAACAGAGAACACCAACTAAACACTAGGGAAGACAACCAAGACCTATAACCTTCAAGTCCAAAACCAGATACCCAACAGGTAATATGTGACAAACAGAGTGCAACTACAGATATTAGTAGCCTCAAAATAAAACCAAACATGGCGTTAGAAGGTTTTAGTTCCTCAAAGCAAACAGCACACTATATATTAACACTAAGCCACCCTTACGTCTTCGTCATGTCATCAGAGACTAATTTTCTGCATTGAATAGTGACATAATACACCATAATGAGTGACAGAAGCCGACAAACACAACCCTCTCCCCCTCTTTCCTCCCTCTCAGCTCCTACATCTCTGTAATCTAGAGTGTGCAGGTTTGAATTAAGATCAATTGACAAGATAAAACCGTTTTCACTGGTTCTCATGACTACCACTTTTCACCCAAACTGCTTTGATTATATTTAATCTGATGGTAATCATGGCTAAATGACAGACAGATGATAAGAAAGGCAGGATCCCTTTCTCACTGATGATTTTCTATTACCACCCAATCAGACAGCTGTCAAGGTTTCTTTTCATAGTGATTTGGCCATGACGCTGTGTGTGTGCTGTAATTAGGTCTTTAATATGGGTGATTAAGGCCCCATTGTAACTGACTCCGAATGAGAAATGTGAGGCAGTTCTTCTAAACTTCTTTTGACAAATCCATTTCTGCCAGCTAATTTTGTGATTTACAATTAAAATTTAAATAGTACATTAAATATAGTGAAATACCAGTGCAAACGACGAATACGCCATGTTGACAGCATCAATAATGTAGCATCTAATACTGCATCTGCTGGGCTGCTTCAACGAGAGACCACAATTTAAGTGAGTGTTGATTGGCTGAAGCGCGCCTGACGTCACCTCACGGATGTTTAAAGGGCATAGAAGTCCGGTAACAGAGCAGCGTAACGAGCGCCGTTCATTTACAACGCTCAGACCTTATGAGGATACGCAAGCGAGACGTAATTTAAATGTAGGTAAATGAAGTTATATCCGCGTTTATGACCTCTCCTTTTTGCTTAAAGACAAGATATGGACCGGCGTCTGCGTCTGTCCGAGCTGACAGACTGAACGCGATCATCTGTTCTGTATTGATGAGTATGTGAAATGATCTGGAAGTTGTGAAGCAGGTGAGTGCGCATACTTGTGTCAAACATATAAGTATGTGAACTTGTTTACTTTGATAAAATTGTTTATCTGTCAGTGTCACACAGAAAGAGGCCCACTGGTCAAATTAATTTGTCTACTTACAAACTAATTGAATACAGTTTGTGTTTGTTGTCCAGTTAGTAACATCTGTTCAGTTGACATGCATTCTGTTCTAGGTAGTGACCCATTTAGTATGGTTAACACTGCTTGTAATACGCAACCACCTCATGTCATAATGGGGGCCCTGGCATGGAAGCGGTGCGTTGGATGTGGATGCAAGATTTCAGACCGCTTCCTCCTGTTTGCTCTGGATGGATACTGGCACTGCCACTGTCTCAAGTGCTCCTGCTGTCAAGCCCAGCTGGCAGAAATCGGCTCATCGTGTTTCACAAAGCATGGCTTGATCCTCTGCAAAAGTGACTATATAAGGTCAGACTACAGGATCAACACTCTGTTTTGTTATTGTCATCCTCTATAATTTACTATCATTCACACCCTGAGCTAACAAATTTACTAGACAAATGAGAGAAATTCTACCATACATCTAATAAGTCTTCTGGCACTGTAGTAAAGAAAATATGGGGTTTGACTTAAAGGGATAGTCTTCCCAAAAAAGAAAATTGTCATGTACGCACCCTCATGTTGTTCCAAACCTGTTTGATTCTTTTTTCTTTTCTTTTTTCTGTGGAAAACATATTTTGAAGAATGTTGGGATCTAAACACTTTCAGTTCCAATTGACTTCCATTGTATGGAAAAAAAAATGTAAGTCATTGGGAACGGAAACTGTGTTCAGCAAAAGAAAGAAATGCATACAGGTTAGAAACAACATGAGGGTGATTAAGATGACAGAATTTCATTTTTGGGTGAATTATCCCATTAAATGAGGAAAAAGTATAAGCAAAAGTTCAAATAGACTTGCTTATTAAAAGATATATTTGTGATTATGATGTTCACTACAGATTGTTTGGTCACAGCGGAGCGTGCAGGGCTTGCAGTAAGTCCATCCCTGCAAATGAAATGGTAATGCGAGCACAGGGCAATGTTTTCCATGTCAAGGTAATTTACTCTATTAAACTGACTCATTTAAATACAATTAATTAAAAATGATCTACATTTTTACTCCTTGTCTAGGTTGATATGCTGAAGTGTGTTTTGGGGGGGGGACAGGGTGCCTTGTAATATGTTTTCCTCAGTCATTTCTTTCTTTACTCTTGTAGTGTTTTGTATGCTCCATCTGCCATAACCAGCTAGTACCTGGTGACCGTTTTCACTACACAAATGGAAAACTGTACTGTGAGCAGGACAGACCGACAGCTTCTGCGCACAGATGCGACCACTTGGATTCACTCAGGGAGCACAACATATCTGAACAGAAGTCCTGAGCTCATCATTTTTTTGCTGAGCTCTGAGAAAGAGACACTAATGGAGCACCTAGTTTCATATTCAAGACCTCATATAACCCAGTAGTTGCTTTGTCAGCTACAGACCATTTTGTGAAGGTCTAATATTGTGGAAATTCAACGTATATGGTAATATCTGGCAGTTTAAATGAGGTTAACCATTGGAGCTGAAAAGCAATATCGGCGAGCATCCTTGCGTATCATAATCAATTATGAATTGGTTTTGCACGGAATGACCTTTCTTATATGTTGTGGACCTGCAATTTAATTGTGGTGTCTGTTAGTTTTGATATAATGCTGTGTACTTCACTTGCAGGCAGTGAAAACACACCACCTTCCTCTGGTGTGTGTGTGTGTGTGTGTGTGACATTTATCTTTTGGTTATGGGACGGCTGTTCTTCCTGGTCTGCAATTACAGTATCACTGAAATTAACCTGTCCATAAATAAATTCTGGTAGTATCCAGAGAGTCCATGTTCTCTTTATCCTTTGAAGCAGACCTCCAGATGATCTCTTAGAGAGCTTTTTTTTTTTTAAATTAGAAAATGACATTCTGAGCTCGCTATAAAGGACCAATCTTTAAAATGTGTGTGTGTGTGTGTGTGAAGTAATATTTGCTTTATTCAGAATAATTAAAAATCTTTAAAAACCCCAGAAAGGATCTCTTCACTGATTTTGAGCTGTGTTTTCAGTTGTGATGCATTATAAATGCTTTCTAAATAGGTTGTCAAACACAGAATTTATGGAGAACACCACCATCTGTTGGCTGAAGGTAATTATGTCACTTTCAAAAGTAACTCTTTATATAAGCCTTTGTTAAAAAAAAAAATTAAGCTTTTTTTCAGTAAAAGCAACTCTCATCATGATATAAAGCTATGTGCAGAAATATTCTGTTGAATTATGAATTTAGAAAAACAAATACTCAGAGGGAACATTATATAAAACATTTTATAATTGTTTACAGAATAAATAATAAAATACACTATACATTGTTAAAGCCTCAATGTGTCATGCTGAATGTCATATGTTTAAGGCCATTCCATCATGTCCTAATCTCTGATTATTGTAATGTGGGTATTTTCTTCTAATTGATTAATATACCTCCTGTCTATGCTTTGCCTTCTTCACCAGTCTGACTTTTAGTCCATGTTTCTGATGAGAAATATTTATTCATTAACCATTTGTCCTTTATATGAGTTGTAAAGTAAAATACATTGGGAGCTGTTCAAATATTTCACGATAGAATAAGTGGTGCTGCTTTTATAGAGTAAATCCTTATTGAATGACTATTGCTGCTTCTGCAGAGTAAATCTAAATGAACTGACCTGTAAAAAAAAAAAAAACTCACAATGAAATGAATGTGGTCCTGCACCTATAGATGAATAATGGATTAGTTGTTTCTACAGAATATGTCCCTATAGAATAATAATACAGAATGCTATTTATGATTCTATAAAATAAATCACAAAGAAATGAGTTGCACTGCTGTAACAGCATAACATCCCTATAGAAGTCAAAATAAAATATAAGCGGTCCTGCTCTTATAGAGTCACAAAATGACTGTTGTATTACTTCTATATAAATCCTTATAGATTAATTAATGCTGGTGCTAAAAAATAAGTTGCAATAAAAACTAAATGTGTTGCTATACCATCACAGAATAAATCACAATAGAATGAGTGCTGTGTTATGTCGAATATATCCTTGAAGGCCCCTCTTTGTCCAAAACTATATTTGAAGACCCATATATTTGAAGAGAAAAATGATTGTTATTGAAGAAGACAAATGCTAAAATAAATATATTTGCATCTTGGTTTTTTTATTCTTTTTTAATGTTAGCATTTTTCATTTACATTATTTTAATACAATTTAACCCATTTTTAAGTCCTGTGACTGAGGCCCCGGCCCCCAGTTGATAACTACTGTTAGAATACATTAGGCCAGAAAGTACAAGAGTTTACTCATATAATAGTTTACAAAAAAAGGAGTTGTGATTTCCTATAAAAATATAGAATGTGTTACTGCAAATAAAATATATCGGGATTAATTTTCTTCTGCAGAAACGTCTACACATAAAGTCCTTACATAATAAATCATTACAGTGTGCTACTCCTGTAAAATAAGCCCCAATGCAATATAATTCTGCTAATCGCAGTACAATAACTTGTGTTGTTTTTAACAGAATAAAGTCCTTATAAAGTAAGTCCAGACAGAATTCGTGGTCCTGCTCCTATAGAATCTGTTTTGCCGCTGTGTTTGTGAATCTGCTATTGATCACATGATCGAGGGTGGACTGGCCGTGGCTGAACTGGGTGCGGGAACAGAAACTTGCACTTGGGTCGGTCTGCCACCCGCCTCCCCTTGTTCCGATATTAGCAGCACGGCTCTGCGTTCACCCCAAAAGCGCGGACCTCCGCTCTGATCCCGGGTCTAAACCCTTGCGTTTACAACAAACCGACAGGCGACAGCTCAACAATGGGACCCCCTCCGTATCCCGGCAATGCTATGGATCGTACCCCAACTAAAGCGATTTTCGCTTGAGACGGAAACATAACAGGCTTGTTTTTTGGGAGTGACTCACCTCCCCTTCCCCAGAGTTTGATTCAAAAAAAGAGTTCACAACCAAGATGGCCGCCGATCCCATGCAGGTAGGAAAAGTTTTTTTATTTCGTACAGTACAGATGTAAAGAATCTTAAAGTATGCTTTAAAAACATAGTATTTGCCTTAGGCGCAGCTCTCTCGCGCACTTTCAAACCACTACTTTTTCTTCCTTTGGGACGAGCTGCTCCCTCCGCCGAAGAGCTCATGACACGGGAAAACGGGGAATGGGGCCCGAAAAACACTTAATGACAGGAGTTTAGAGGTTGTATTGTTCTCGTACAGTCATAGTAGCGTCTCCAGATAAAATGTAATTTAGATTTTATTGCCTGTTGCCTGTTGGAAACACGGAGTTGTGATGGATTGGAATTGTACACACTGGCTGTCTCAAAACCTAGTGAGCTGCCTACCTAGAAAGCAAAACTGGTTGAAGAAACTAAAACCGATTTAAAAGAAGTTAATGGACAGTAGTTAGTTAGTTAGTAATGTTATTACCACATTATCCCTACTGTGAGATGTGGGAAGTTTAGAATGAAGTTCTGTTCTGTTGGTTTATGCTTGCGTTTTTCTACAAATGATTTTGTAGTTATTTGGTTGGGGCTTGTCTTTTTGTTCAGTGCTGAACTGCAGTCTTGTTTCTAACTCTTTGAAACTAGTTATCAAGATAATCTGAAGGTGTTTACAGTCTAAACTTGTAATTTAATAACTCGAGTGGTTTGTTGGTTAATATAAACTAACAAACTAAACTATTTATATATAAACTATTCCAGTAAAATTATTATATTTTTACTGTTTACCTGCCTTTGAGATAGATGCCTTAAACATCAAGATTATGTAATTCAGTAACTGCAATGAGCTGTCAGCTATTATAACTTAATTAAAGTGCATTATTGTGAAAAGAGACTTCAAGATGTAGCCTTTCACTCATACTGCAATAGTTGTTTGAGCCCACCCCTTTTCACTTTTAATGTTGTTCACAAGCAGACATGATCACAACATTTTTGAGCATTTGTAAATTCAGTTGTCTGGTGTGCAAAAAAAAATGCCCTAGCTGTCAGATGTAATTTTGCCAGCGCATTCAAATTACAACCAGGAATCTGTTGTGTTGTTCTCAGTTTTTGTTACTGGAAATGACACTGTTGTTACTGAAACATGTTTTGTCAGTATTTGTTCCCAGAACTGATAAGTCCAAGAGTATTATGGAAAGTGGAAGAGACACTGCTGCATAATTTGGTTTTGTGCGGTGAGTGAGAGGTCTGGAGACATTGTTGGTTAAAGTGCTATTCAGGACTCTTTCAGGCGTATGAAGGGAGATTTTAACCCTCGTCAGTTTGAGTATTAATGAGCAAAACACATTAGTAATGGAACCTTTTTGCTTTGCATGTTGTGCTGTTATAATATTGATTTTGTGTGTGTCCTAAGTGTTGCAGCACAAGTGAGGAAGCGATAAGGTGCAACTGGCTTTTTCCTCATTACCTAAAATGTAGGACAGTTGCTTTTCCATGCCCTTCAGTTGACCCATGGGTCAATGCTGTAAATGCAAGCAGAGTGTCAAAACATACATACCATACTTATTGGTATCTTCCAGAGTAATATTATCAATGCATCCCTATTTTTATTATATGAATGTTGATGTATTTGAATAATATGACCATTATGGATTCAGATTAGTGCTGGGCGGTATGACCAAAAATGTATATCACGGTATTTTTCCAAATTATACCGGTTTCACGGTACATGACAGTATTTTTTTTTTTCATGCATGACCGGGTGTTAACCATATTTTCTACTGATTGAGAGAGGAAATACTGCAGTATATTGACTTAGAATGCCCTATTTTATTCGGTATGAAACGGTATACCGCCCAGCACTAATTCAGATGTATTTTGCTTATGAACTGTGGATGCTTGTCGAACCTCACTTTCACCCTCCTTTAGACCTGAATGAGCACATTCTGTGGAAAGTCTTTCAGCACTTTGTTTTGAAGCTTTAAAAAGTGAAGTGACATGTGGCCAAGTATGGTTACCCATACTCACGACTTCACTTCAAACGGACCTCCCCTGGAGGAAGATTAGAGTTCTCTTACATGTTGTCAGTGAACTCATGAAGAGCTGGGCTAAAGCAGGATTTGGCTCACCCACTCAGACCAGTTATCCTCCCTGCTGATGTCAGTGATACTGTGTTTCTTTATTTGTATGTGTACCTCTGTGTGTTTTCATTCTTGCTTAGGGTTTAGTGTGCAGGGTGCACTAGGAGATGTGAATGCAATATATCATGACTAATGTTACTGCAGGTGACAATTATGCCTTAGGAGGGAATTTCCTTCAGGTGCTTACTAAGAATCTTTTATTTTTTGCATGAAAAGACAACCTAAGAAAGTCTTTGAAATAGTTTTCTAAACAAATTTTATGTAAAAGGTGTAGGATATTGACATCAAATATGGTAATATATTTTGTGATGACTGTAAAATGGTTATTTTGTACAGGCTCACATGGTTTCGGACCAGCTGGGTCTGGGGCACAACCTTGACCTGTCTGATACCATGGTGCAGCAGAAGCTAGACGAAATCAAGGAGCAGATCAAGAGGGAGATCCGCAAAGAGCTGAAGATCAAAGAGGGGGTGGAGAACCTTAGAAAGGTCACCACGGCAAAAAAGAGACTGGCATATGTTGATAATATGCTCAAGAAGTCCAACAAGAAGTTAGAGGAGCTTCATCAAGAGTTGCAGGAACTCAATGCTCATATTGTGGTGAAGGATCCAGAGGATCTTCTCTTAGGTATGAGCAAAGCTTTCATCAGTAAATTTTAACCATCTGTAGTGCCATCTGTATTTATATACACACACACACACACACACACACACACTACCATTCAAAACTTTGAGGTCAGGATGAATTATTTAAAGAAATTAATTCAACAAGGATGCATGAAGTGGCAGTAAATACATTTATAATGTTACAAAACTAAATGCTGTTCTTTTGAATTTTGAAGAGTCCAGGAAAAAGTTATCATGCTTTCCACAAAAATATTAAGCAGCACAATCTTTCAACATTGATAGTTATAATAAATGTTTCTTGAGCAGCAAATCAGCATACTAGAATGATTTCTGAAGGATCATGTGACACTGAAGACTGGAGTAATGATGCTGAAAAGTTTGCCATCACAGGAATAAATGACATTTAATAATATATTCAAATAGTAAACAGTAATTTAAAATGGTGATAATATTTCACAATATTTAAGTTTTTACCATATTATTTAATATAGCCTTTTTTGTTACAACCAGCGCTCATGCTCTTTGACAAAAATAAACAACAAACCGTTGAAGTCCAGTGCAGTTTTCTAATTATGAAAGCACTACGTCTTGCAGGCCTCCATATATTTTAGCTTCTCCTTTGATTAAAAATTATATTTTTTAATGGACAGAAACGGACATTTTTTATTAAATGTTTAACATTTCACCCATTCTTACTGATCCTGACAAAACTTTACAAGTCATTCTTTCAGTTTCCAGTGGGTCATCCTTATAGTTGAGACCTGCTATCTTTTATATGACGTGCTTCTCCACGGTGTCCACAAATCACTTTTTGATTGTTTTGAAGATAAATAGTCTTTACATGTGAGATATGTGAGTCCAGACAGTAAGCAGTAGCAGTTCGTCTAAACTGAATAGTTACAGAGCAACCTCCTCTAGACTATAATATTTAGTTGTGAGCATATATCTGCCAGAAGCATGATCAGATCTCTCACCCTACTAACCACATCCTTATACGGGACAAGATGTAGCCTGGCATGGAAACTTTATCTGATGAGAAAGGGCTTTTGTTTGGTGACTCAGCGCAAGTGGAATGTCGCTGCGTGTCACACCTCTGTTTTGACCTCCTCAGTCTGTGTGCGCTAAGCAGAAATCAGCAGATGCCACTGGAAGACAACAGCGCTCCAGTGCCAGTGCCTCGCTGGTGACGTCATAGTTGCTCAGCACTTGTTGGGAGTCCAGACAGTGGAATTGGTCGGGCTTTTCCACTCGCTGATGACCCGGGTCAAGCCTTCTGCACCTCATTATATCATCAGCTCTGATTACATCCATTGCACAGACACATCTATTTGCTTTTGTGTATGGCAAATAAGTACGAAATAAATAGTTAGTCCAGTGTGGTATAGGGCTTTGATCAAATTATAAGAATCTCTGAAGTCTCAAAGTAAGGGTAATAGGTTAGTAATACCTGCTGTGTGGGTGCGTTATCCCTTACCCTGCGGACTCTGTTTATAATAAGAGGCATCTGTATTTATGCCTTGCATAATGATGTGACTCAGGAGTCTCCAGGTGCTTAACAAAAGACGATTGTTCCTCATTACCATGTGCTTCCACACTAAGGTGCTTTGTGAAGATTTATTTATCAAAGACAATCTCCTCGCTTCCGCTCTGAACCTCAACAACCTTCTGGAGGTTTTGTAGTAGGCTAAATCATCATGTAGAGAGAGGTGTTCATACTCTGTCTGTGTTGTCTATGAAGCAAATGTTAAATTGGAGATATTTTATCATTTGAGTTGATGGTGTTATTTGATGGAGATGGTGTTATTTGGTGTTATTTGAATCTCATTGATGGTGCATATTGTTTGAGGCTGACTGTAACGCCGTATATATAGAGCCACATATATGGCTAGTTGATATAAACAATAATCAAATTCAAAATCAAAATCTCAATATTTTCAGGCATTTGATGATATAAAATATATAAACTACTGTTTTAAATGTTTTGAAAGAAGTCTCTTATGCTCTCCATTGTCTCCAAGCATTTATTTGATCAGAAAAAAGGGAAAACAGAAATAGTGTGAAATATTATTACAATTCAAAATAACTGCTTTCTATTTTAATATATTTTAAAGTGTAATTTATTCCTGTATAAAGCTGAATTTTCAGCAGCCATTATTTCAGCCTTCATTTGATCCTTCAGAAATCATTCTACTATGTTGATGTGGAGCTCAAAAAACATTTCTTCTTATTATCAATGTTTAAAACAGTTATGCTGCTTAATATTTTATGGAGACAAGGATTTTTGAGTATTCTTTGGTGGATTGAGCATTAAAAAAAACCTTAAGGATCCTTTGCAACATTGTAAATGTCTTCATCGCTTTCGATCAATTTATTACATAATACAAAAATAATTTCTTAAAAAAAAAAATGACCCAAGCTTTTTTTTTTTCTTCAGTCAGAGGTTTGATGATTTTTAACCACCTGCCATTGCTGTCAATTTTAAAACCTTTACTGTAAAACACAGTAAAAATGTAGGTAAAAAAATAAAGTCTTTACCAAATGTAGGCAATAATTTTTTGTTCTTTCTTTTTTATGCACCAACAGTAATATTGATTAACGTGTTTTATTTTTTCAATTTATTTAGCCTTTTCTTACATGGGACCAAGTTGATTTAACAGAAAAGTGGAAGGAGAGAAAAATGGTTCACCTAAAAGAATTGACCTTACCAACTGTATTGCCATTATTGCTGTTGAAGTTTAAATCAAAGATGCTACCAAAAGACATCTGTTTTTTGCGCGTGTTTTTGGCATGACACCATATTTTTTTATATTACCCAGCTCTGCTTTCACATAAAGTGCCTCTGTGAGAGCTGATGTTTTTGTTTGTTATTAGCAGAAGTCTAACAGGTTTCATTTATCTGTCGAGGTGGGGGAGTTTTTACTTGTATGGACATGATAAGTAGTGATGTGCTTCATTGAAATAATTTCAGTTTTCATAGTCCTTCATCAAAGCAACCCCAAAACATTCCTGGAAAACTGCAAAACTTACAGAATTAAACAGTCACCCTCATAAGAGTGCTCACACCATATGGCCAGCTTTTTGAATATTGCTGCACCAAAAAAACAACAACCAAAAAAGGTTTCAAATGATTCCAAAGCATGAATATTTTTACTTGCATTAGTGCAGCTTCTAAACTTGTTACTCAAAGGTCAAACAAAAAGTCAGGTACTCTTGTTGCAACATCCTTCCTGTTTTGTATGGCTTAGCCAAAAATCTGGAAGTGGCCACAGAAAATGGCAACAACTTAATTTCTGTTGCTCTCAGATTACTCAACTCTCTCTTCTGACCCAAATAAAGTATCATTATTCAGTTGGTCCTTTCTGGTGCTGGTGTTGTGAAGTAGTTAAAGATATGAGCTTTCAACCAAACAACATTGGAGTCCATTGACTTTGTATTGACAAAAAACACTTAGACATTTCTCAAAATATCTTCTTTTAAGTCATACAGATTCGAATGACATGAGGGTAAATAAACGAGACAGACTTTTCGTTTTTGGGAGAACTATCCTCTTAACCCTAGATTGTTCCAGGAAGTCTGTCCTTGGAATCTCTTCAGATCCTACTAACTTTCTGCCATTTCTTTCCCAGAGTGCCCTCTTACGCTGGACAGCACTAAAAGGGAAGCACGAACATGCACTATCAGCAGCAGACTAGCAGCCCTGAAAAAACAGAATGACATTGAATTGAAGGTGAAACAGGGGGCTGAGAACATGATCCAGATGTATTCAAATGGCTCCTCAAAGGTAATGTACCATTTGGTTTTATTTAATGACTATTTTTTACTTAAGGCTTTTTTTTTTAACCAGTGATGTAGAATCCAGTATTCTGTTGTTTACAAAGCACATGAGAGAACACCATATAATCATCTTGGCCCAGAATCTGCATACACTACCAGTCAAAAGTTTGGAGGCTGTACTTATTTGATTAAAAATATAGTAAAAACAGTAATATTGTAAAATATTATTGCGATTTAAAATAACTTTTTTTTTCTATTTTTCACTATATTTTAAAGTGTAATTTATTCCTGTGATGGCAAAGCTGAATTTTCAGCAGCCATTACTCCAGTCATTAGTGTCACATGATCCTTCAGAATCATTGTAATATGCTGATTTGGTGCACAAGAAACATTTCTAATTATTATCAATGTTTAAAACAGTTGCACTGTGTAATATTTTTGTGGAAACCATATTTGCTGAATAGAAATGAATGAACAGTATCGAAATAGAAATCTTTTGGAACACTATAAATAACTTTACTATCACTTTTAATCAATTTATTGCGTTCTTGCTGAGAAAAAGTATTCATATCCTTAAACATTTTTTTTACTGACAGCAAACTTTTGAATGGTACTGTATGTGTAAGGAAAAAAGGCAAACACACATAAAATATGCCTAAATTCACTTGGATAGAAACACAGGTCCCAGAACTACTGCTTTACTTCAATTGAGTGCAGCTACTGCAACTTGCCTGAGAGGTTTGGCCATAGGAGTGGCACTGGTGATGTGCTTATCCCCTCTGGCTACACACACACACACACACACACACAGTGCAGCCCTATGTGGGATTAGCAAGGGCTGATGTCAACCAGGAAATGACTTGTAAATGAAAACATTTCCTTCTCACACACTCTCAGCATGGTAACAGTCCCTGGCATATGTTTAGCCTTTGACCAGCTTGCACAAGAGTGCTACCACTGTTAATAAAAATATTACATAAATTAATTAATAAAGTGAAGTAAAAAAATATAACATTTTTAAAAGGATAATGAAAACTGAGTTTAGCAGTAAGAGAATTTCCTGTCACCACATAAAATGTGTATTTGTTTTTGCATGACTTGACTTTTATGACTGTTGTTGACCTTGCAGGATAGAAAACTGCTTGAAACAGCACAGCAGATGCTTCAAGACAGCAAAACCAAGATCGAGTTCATCCGAATGCAGATTCTCAAAGCCAGCCAAACCAGCGAGCTCAGCTTCGACAACAATGATATCATTGGTAACACTCAAACATAGTTCCTCCAGCGTTAGCATTCACAGTTCAACAAACACAAAACAATAAATATATTTGTTGTGTTGTGGTGCAGCCAAACCCATCATCAGTCCACTGGACCTGCGGGTGGAGGAACTCTGCCATCACACACGGATAGAGTACGCTGTGGCCGAGGGGGCCAAGAATGTCATGAAGCTGTTGGGCTCTGGTAAACTGGCTGAGAAAAGGGCTCACTCAGAGGTATTTTCAACTGGATCGTTGTCATTATCACCTTCTGAACTGACCTTTTTGGTACATCTGACCTTTAGCACTATTTTTAAGTTTTAACATGTCCATAGCTTTCACCTTTTGGCCCTTGCAGTCTTGGAAAACAAGGTGGCCTGAGAGACCACCAGCAGTGTTCAAGCTTGACCTAGAATGGAATAAAATAAAGTTATATATATATATATATATATATATATTTAGAATTTTGTATACATACATAGATTTCGAATAATAATCAGATGGTTTACAATGACAGTGCAAAAAGAGTTTCAAAAATGCAAACACCAATTATCAAGATACCAAAAAGTCTTGACCAGATTTCACAAAGAAAAATACTTTAGATTTAATTGCATTTGAAATATTCATTTGATATAATTATTTTCTCGTATTCCATTTAACTCATGCACACACTGAAACAACGCATGTGCTCAACACTCAAAATGTCGACTGAACC